AGATAGTGACTTTAAGAACTTGTGATGAGGTTTCTATCTACTGCCTTGGTTCTCTTGTCTGTTAGGGTCCCTGAAGACTCTCAGCTGTTGCAAGTAAGCTTCTCCTCACAGTTCCCTGCAATAATATATTTAAATTAATACATCTGAATCAGTAATAAACTTAAATTAATTAGTGCAATACATTTAAACAGCTAGAAGTTGATGTGGAGAGAAATTAGGACTGTTTTTCTCTGAGATATATTGTCATAAGTGCATTCACACCCTTCTTTGTTTCTCCTTTTTCCTTGTTTTTGGATATTCTGATCGAGAGAAAGGGGGGTGTTGCCTGCCTCAATTTTTGTCGTGTGAGATGCATGCATTGAGAGGAAGAGTTCAGCTTGTAAGGAAAAGACTTCTTGGCCCCAAAATTGTTCCACAGTGTGACTATAGCCTGTAAATAATTGTGTCAGAGACCGCCTATGGCATGTAAGTAGTTTGTTGTGGAAGAGGATGCTGTTTGGATTTAGAGGCCAAAGAAAGGTGGTGTTGGGAAGGAATCTTTGTTTCTGCTGCTGAGTTCTGTTCATTACTGATGGGAGAAGATCTGTTAACGTTTACACCTTAGTCCTTGCTAATATCACTTTTAGTCCCATGAAAGTCAGTATCCTTTTCGTAATGGAAACCAAGGCAATGGATGGGAAACCACATACCTATGTATTTGTTCAATATTTGGATGAAGATACCAGTCCTTTTCTTTCTTTCTGGAGAAACAGGATTATCTTTTTATTGTATTCTATTTTTCTTTTGAAATTTGTCTGGGGTATGGATGCCTGGTTACATAAAGACCAGGCCTCCATTTGCAGCTAGGGAGACTGAGAAAGCCGTGATTTCATACAAATATTTCCTTTTATTCTTGTTTAATTCCTTTCCATTGTATTAACACATTTTGAGTATTTCTGAGACTTTTAAAACTCAAACTCAAACAAATAAAACTTTGCTGCTTTGTGATTTTTTTTGGTTGTTTTTTTTTTGTTTTTTTTTTTTTTTTTTTTTTTTTTTTTTTTTTTTTTTTTTTTTTTTGTTTTTTTTGTTTTTTTTTTTTTTAACATGAAAGTACCACATTACTAGGTGTTGGGATACTTGCTGCTGTACTGTGTGCAGGAAAAACAGCCTTTAGAGTCTATAATGTGGTATCAGACTTCATTTTGCTTCCTAAATACACACAAATGTAATCTCACAGAAATATGAATTAGAAGTAACTGTTAGTAATGTGTTTGTATGATCTGTGAGTTAGGAATAGGAACGCTATAACCCACATAAACTGGTTGAATTTGTGTAAGAATAGTGTGTAAGACATTTAACTATCAACCTTGCAGAACATGGACTGGCAAACATGGAACAAGCACTTTATGTGCTATATACAGAATTTCTATGAACAGATACCACCTGTTGTGAGCCACAAACAATTTGTAGGACCAGATTCATACGGGTGCATGTCATCATAAGATAGTACTTAGGAATATAACAATATGAATTTAACTGTCTAGAAACTTCACCCCCTTTTTTCAGTAACTTAAGAAAATTTAGCAGAGAATTAACCGTTAAATGTACTGCTAAAATGTATTATGTCTTTGATCTATTTATTTTAGTTTATATCAATGAGGATTAGAAGTGTCTAGGTCTAAGCTGGGAGGTAACTAAAGGCAGTGTGAATATAAGGTGATAAGAGAAAGCGGTTTGTCTTATGAAGGCTGGTGCCAGTAAAGTTGGGGACCAGTGTTTGCTATCCATTCTGCCTTCTGAGTGTAGCTTTTAAAACACACTGCTGTTATTGTGCAGTATCTTTTCATTAACAGCCCTTTGTTTTATGCATTTAGGATGTTTATTTTACACAAATAGAACATTTCCACCTTATTAAACTGCACACTACAATTCAGTGAGATCAGACATATTAGAAGTCAAAACTACTGATTTTTTTTTTTTTTTCCTGAGTTGCTTCATTATTAGCAGAGGGAAATTTCTGCCTTTATGAGCTATCTCAAGTCTCTGGTCTTCCCCCATGAAAGGCAGTGATGTCTCACATGTGCGTGTTATCAGCACGCAAGCCTGTGTGACTCAGTAAAGCTGCTGGTTTTTTGCTTTTAGATTATATGATTAGGTTGTTACTGCTTGGAATGTTTTTTAGCAATAAAACTAAAGGAACTGGGTTGAATCTAAAATTATATTGACACCATACATATTCTACTACTTATGTAAGTGTCTGGTCATTAAATGCTTCAAAAAATCAGGGAGCTGAACTTCAATTTTATTCTGATCATGAATGAATACCGTTGCATCATTGATGGGTGTCTAAATTTTACTAGAATGGGGTCTTCAAGATTTGATTCTGCAATTCACAGGCTTGTCATCAGTCTTGGCAAATGGATGGGGACTAAGCCAGTGTTAGAATCAGTGACCCTCACTGCTGTAAAGCAAAAGTATCTGTCAGAGCAYTGAGGTCAATCTTGYCCTACTCCTTTCTGTRCTGTTCCATACAAACTCTACAGACMGGCAGAAAAAATTCATGCTCTAGGGCTGTTCTCTCAAAGTAGTCMGTCACATAAAGGAGCAATTCCTTTTCTACCTTGTACACACAGGATGTCAAAGCACTCTTCCGTCCCTGAGGAAGGCAGGGCAAAAGCAATGGATCCAAGTGAATGGGGAAGATAGTTTTAAATATGTTTGCTTTAAGAGGATAAAATAAAAAATGTTGGAGAGTATTCTTTTCCCCACAGGTTATACTATGAAAAAGACGGCATAATGAATATCAGTTTTTTAATCATGCTGGCTAATAGATGAATTTTCCTATGAATTGAAATTGGGTAACTGATGATAGGTTTGTGAAGTAATTAGAGGAGCAGCTGACAGCATACTTTTGAGTAGTCAAATGCTACACAGAAAGAAGGCAATGCTGTTTTGTTTTAAATTTCAAGAATTGTCTATTTTTTTTTTTCTGTGGTTTGCTCCTGTTCTTGAGTAGATTTCTTTGAATTCTCCAGGTGCTTTTTCCACATGAGTGCAAGAGGAGTAGACAGTTAAAAGAAGTGACTGCTGTGGAGGACAGCGTGACCACCATGAGAGGAAGCTGCCTCCTCACACTGCTCTTGGCAGGACTTGGGGTTTTAGGAATACTGGAGTCAACAACAACAGAAGACACCCACTGCCACAGAGCTGAGCACCCCATTATTGCATACAAAGGTAAGATGTAAATGCCAAAAAAACTTTTCCAAGTGCTGGCCAAGTATTGTGTAATCACTTGATAGAAATCTGTGCTTATAATATAGAATGGTATGGGGAAAAAAAGGTGCATTCAGTGCTGTTATATAAAAATCTGGGGTGTATTCTATGCAAATGAAATAAAACTAGGCTTTCAAATCTTGTTCAGAATTTGTAGCTGAATGTATCACTTAAAGGTGGGTGAATAGTTTTCCTTTGTGATTAAAACTAGTCTGTGCTGTTGCATGGAGATATTCCTTTCCACGTGCACGATTCTACATGTGTACATTTAATTTCATGAAGTTGTTCTCATCCCCCTCCTTCACCCTGTCTAGACTTCTTGGTGTGGCAGTCCCACCCTCAAGCTCTTTAATTGGTTTTTTTTTTTATTTAGTGCTATCTGCAAACTTTACAGACTGCATTCTATTGCCTCCCCTTCTTCCTGGTGAAGGTGTTGAACAGGATAAACCCTTGTGATATTGCACTTGTTACTGGCTCAGGTGGAGAAAGGGCTGTTAAACATTTACTCTCCAGCTGGTAACCCCTTCTGCTAAACAACAGATGCCTCTGATACCTTAGTGGTGGTATTGAGTCCCTCAGCATCCCCCAGTTTGCTGGCCCTGGGTCACCTGCCCGAGTCAGCAGCAGGCTGATATTTTTCCCTGTTCAACCTTCCATTCCTGTTGGAGCAGTAGAAGCTGTCCCTGTTGCCCCTGACATTCCATGCAAGTTGTAACCTCCCCTGTACTCTGTTTAACCTGATGTAATCCCTGCATGTCCATGTGGTCCTTCTAAATTCATCCTTGTCCCTGCTTGCTCCTGACACACGCAGCCTTTTTGAGTTGAAGCTGCACCACAAGTTCCTTGCTTCACCAAGACATACCCTTCAAACATGTGGTTGTCATTGAGTATTGGGGTGGAACACTGAGGAATGGCTGGAACAAAGTGAAGAATACTTGGAGGATGTTTTCTGTCCAAACCTGAGCAGTTAATAACTTATCTGACTTTTTTTTTGTTTATTTGAATTGGGATTTTTCCGTTAGTGTCATAACTTAGAATGAGTTCCAAATAGTTTGTAGTTATGAGGATGTAGGGATTAAGTTGTATTATATTACACCCTGCATTCCTTCTGTTTTTCTAAGAAAGCACATGTGTAAGTTTTTTGTTCCAATGAATTAGAATTTATTGAATTGTAATTGAAAAAAGATTTGTTTCCATTCTTTTCATAAACTTAGAGAAAATAATGTTGTGTTTTGCAAAAAGTATTCTGTTCTGGCATTTTAATGGTATAATGATAATAATGGTACCAGCTGTCCTGTTCTTCCATACACTGGAGAATGAACTCTACCTCAGAACACCAAACCATCAGTGTATTGTGAATGAGGGACCTTTATCACTCATTTATTAGTGGGCTAAATAGCATGAGTTATTCTGATGAAATATCTGTTTTCCTTAGCATTCATATTGTGCAAATAATTCCATTTAAAATGCTTACTTTTTTATCAGAACACGCATACACAGTATTGTAAATTAAAGTAATTGAAGTAGAATGGTTAAAATTCTGGCACTAAGCTTCTTAATTTCACAAACTAGGAGATCACTGCATGTACTTTTTGGTTTTTTTTATATGCTACTGTAAAAGAAAATAATTGAGACTCATTACCAGTGCTGCGTTCTAGGAGTTGATTAAAAATGTGTCATTTTATGAATCTAATTCATCCAATATTTAGAAGGGTTTCTTGAATTTAGAGTGATCATGCCTCATGTTCTCAGTCGTATTTAACTTCTAGCGATGTCCTTCCAGTTCTAAGTCACTATGCAAAGGCTTTTTGGGGACAGAGGCCTCGTCTGTCATCTTGTTCCAGGTGCATCTTTTGATATAGCCAAAGAGAGTGTCACAGTTAGGGTTTACTGAACAAAACCAATTTCTTTTTGCTGTAAATATATGTGGGAAATAGAATTATATAGAAACATTTGCCACAAGATTTTTAGTATGAGATCTAGTAAAATTTTGAATGCCAGACTCCCATTGACCTTTGTGCTAAAAATGCCATTTATGAGTACATATACATGACATAACTTAGCCTTTATGAAGTGACATCTCTTGGAAAATTTTCTGACAAGCTGTAGTTCAGGCTGAACACAATAATCTGTTGGGAATCCTTAGTAACCACTAGAAAGGATGTGTAAAAACACGTTTGCAATGCAGCGTGTGATAGCTGGGTAACCTGGTTGGTGTGGGCACAACAGCATTTGACTTGTGCTTGAAGGACTGCTAGTTAGTGGAAAATGGAAGTTTTGAGACCCAAGGAAAAAGTGCCTGAGAGGTTTGTCTTTGTATCTGTATGTTAGGAATGGATTACTTGGTGTATCAGACTGTAAGAAGAGAGATGGGTGTAAGAAGCCAATGTCTGAGTGAATCCTGCAGTAGGGGCTGGCATGTTTCAAACAGCCAGCCATCTCACTGATATCCGTATTTTTCCTGTGACATTGGCTGACTTCCTGAATTCACCCACCCGCCTATAGGAAAGTGCTCTCTGGGATCTATTGATGTTACTGGTGCTGCTAGACCAACATCGAGTTAAAAAATCAATTTGTAACAGTTAAAATCCCCTTGAGCGCTGCACTAATGCCCTACTCTGTAAAGTCATCCTGTATTAGTATTAGATCCACCAGAGCTAAATGCTGTGTGGGATGCTGAACATCAACCAAGGCTGAATGCTATTGAGTGGTTGGTACTTTAAAGCTTGTAAACTCAGTAAACTAACTTGTAAACTTGTAAACTAAACTAACTTTACTGAGATATCAACACTTTTGTTTTATTTATAACTGATCAAAGCCTTTTTTTTTGGTCTTTGTTTTGTAGTTTCTGGTATACCAAAGTAGCAATGTACTTATTTGATTTCTCTTCCTTTGAGAGGTACTGTAGATGGAGTATGAACTATTAAATAAAACTAATGGAGTGAGAGTCTGGTGTAGCGTATGGATGAACAGCTGCAAAAAAACTAATAAAAGGACAAAATAGTCCCCAGGAGCTGTCACAGTGAAATATGGAAAAGGAGTATATCTCCCAAAAGAGCTTACTTTCTTTCTTACTGCCCATCAAAAATTGCTCACTTAGGTGATGATTCTGTCAAGCTACCTTGTGTAAAGGTACATATACTATGTCTAGCACTGATTTTTCCAGCTAAATAGTTTTAGTTGAAGGCTGTAATATATCTGCTGGTAGCAAATGGCGAGAATTTCACCCACCAGCTGAGAACTTTTACGCAAATACTTTGTTTGCTGGTGGAAGAGGAAAAAGAAGTTGCAGTAGCAGGACATGCACACAATTTGGAAGGATTTTGGACGTGATTTAAAAGCTTTCATTTGATGTCCCTCATACACAGTGTTAATAACCATGTTGTAATTTGTTTATCTGCATAATTAGTATTAGGACTGCATAATGTATCTTTTTGCTGTCCCAGAATCTATAAATGTCTGCTATAGATCAGAAACTGTTGGCAGCTCTAAAATTTCTTGTCATACAGCTTCCTTAAACTAGAATAAGGCACTTTGTGTCTTCCTTGGAAGATGGAAATTTCCTTTTCTCATTATTTAAAGTTGTTAGGAACTATCACAGAAAACAATTTAATATAAAATAGACCTCTAAGTATTGCATAGATTATTGCTCAGCCCAGTAGTGTGCAGTTCAGTGTTCTATGTAAAACTGATGGTGCATGGTGCCTCTTTGAATTTCTTTTCTCTCTCAGGAGTCGTCTGCCTCTAGAAGTGCAAAAAATGTGCTAATGTGTTGAAATTCAGCCTTAATAAAAAAAATTAAAAAAAAAAAATCTCTCTGCGTATGTTATATGCATGTACTAAGAATTCATCAGCTATACYAATTCCAATAGTTGGAGTCAAGGGATTGTAAATCAAGTGTAACTTACAACTGGCTGAAAGGAAAGAAGGTGCAGGTTAGAGACTCATAGTGTGTGATCCTTAATTTTACACACATTTCCATATGTTTACAATGTGAAAAGAAGGAAATAATGCTTGAAATAGCTTAAWGGTTAAGAGAGAAAAAGGGCTTAAATAACCTACTCATTAGAGTGTTACAAATTTTATTTCTGTTAAATTTTATTTTATTTGGATATACTTTTGTTTGCATGTAGATATGAAGTGTTAGCTCTGTAAATGTATTTGGGTTTACTGATGGTCTGCTTTTTGGGAGGAAATGTTCTCTTATTATAGTAAAGGAATTATAGTATAATGTTTAACCTAAGCAGTTATAAAAGGCTGCAAAACCCAAATTTGCTCTATGAGGAAAAAAAGGACACTTTATAAAAGTTGAACTATTTTTAGCCAAAAAAAACCCCCAAAACAAAACAGTTGAGTAGTCTAACGTTTGTCTATATATATCCTGTGTTTCATACTGCACCTGCTCTTCAGAAACTTCATGGTGGCTCTCTGTGGACCTGACCTTTCATTAGATTAAAAAAACCCAAACCAGAAATGGAAACGATCAGCAAAAAGGATAAAAGTAGTTACAGTGGCAGCTTGTTTCCCCAGACACACACATTTACTGAACTTTGAAACACCAGACCTGTCAAAACTGAGCTGAAGACTCATTCTGTAGACAGACCCCCTTCCATGAGGTAGAACTGAAGGGGACATTACAACGGCTTAGCAGCAGTGTGTGAGTCAGCTGGGAAAAAAAAGTTGGTCCACATCTAGTGTCAGGTGGGAAATTTTAAATATTGACTCTCTTGCAGTTTACCTGCATAAAGGTGTTTTTCTTAGGCTTTTCTGCCAGAAATAAAATGATGTTGTGAACTTCATTGATACTGAAAATGCAGTGGCGATCCTTTGCTCTGAGGCTAGTCTCTTTCTTCTAGGCTCCCATAACATAATCATAATTTAAAGTTGTGCTGTCTCAACAAAGAAAACATGAGTTTCCATAATTTTAGAAGCTATATTTAGTGATAATTTAAATACATGCT